GATTTCATAACATCATTAAAGACTCAGGATGTGCCAGTTACTAATATCTGAGCATTTCATGCATTTTCTTCATGCAACTTGAAAGCTTCTTAATACGTCTAAAAGATACATCTGTAGCAAGGTGAAACTGTGCAAAGTTAGGCATAAGAAGCTTAGATAATTCAGCCCATGTCAGATAGGGGTAAGTGGTAACTGGAAGGTGTTTAGTATCGGCAGTCATTAAAAATGTATTTATGTGGATTATTTAAAACAATACTTCTCTCAATGATAAGTTAACCAAGAGAAGGGAAAAAAGCCAACTATGCAAATCCCACTTAAAATATGTATTTCTATCTATAATACTAAGCAATCCCATTTTTATTCATATGTATGCAGAGAAAAATTCAAAGCAAATGTAAATGATACGTGCCTTTTTTTTGTCCTTTTTTATACCTTATTTTACCCATTTTCTGTAATAAACAACCCTCATTGATTTGCGTTTTCACATTTACCAGCTCCTTGTCTTTGAAAGAGTCCCTTCTGTTTGCCTCTATCCCCATCTGTCAACTGGAGATTATCGTAATGGCTACCTCCCTGGACAATGAAGGGGATTAAATAAAGTAACACAAGAGAACATTTAGAACCGTGCTTGACAAATAGCAAGTCCTCCGTGGATGTCATATTCATTTTAAATGTTATCATTACTTATTAAACATAACATTGCTTTTAAAATATGCCTGCAGGTGACATAATGTTCATGAGACCGTGCGCAGAGCCAGGCTGAGTAAAGGCTGACTTCCCCAGATTGCTCTGTCTCTTACAGCCATCAGCCATTGCATTCCAGTCCCCTCTTGAAGGCACTGAGATTAGAAATTAAGTCTGATTTCTCTGAGTTGTAATCTGCACCGTGACATCTCAATTAATTCAAAAAATTATCCAGTTCTTGTGCATATTATTATATAAAGTTGAGGAGGTATTTTAATGTCTGATTTTTTTTTGTAGGGTTAACAGAAAAATAAAAGTTAAGTTTCATACCCAAGTCCTGGGTCAACGGCAAGTTATAGAAAGACAGACATAGGGGCCGACACAGCAGGGCTGTCTTCGTATTTCTGCGGCAATGCTACTACAGGCTGGAATTGCAGGGGGACTGGCTGAGTGGACAGGAGAACTGTCCCCGCCCCACCCCCAGCTGTACACGTTCATCTCGGGGTTTTCCTTCCAGACTGTGAGCCCTCTTACCCCATCTGCCCTGCACCCATGAAACCAGAACTGCTCTTATCTGTAGCAGATCATACAGAACCCCGGAGAACCACCCCACCCATCCACCGCTTCTTCTGAGACATCAGATCCAGCCTCGCGCTACTGCCACTGGCCTGAGACCTCCTGCCACCAGAGCAGAGCCCTCGCTTTCTTACCTCCTCCCTGGCGTCGTTCTGGTGACGGGATGACACTCCTGGAAGTGGCCATTTTCTCCTTCTTCTGGGCTTGTGAGTTGCCCCCCGATCATTTCAGTCGTCAGGAGAGACTGAAGAGGGTCTTTTTTATGTTGCCTCTTTCATGTCGTTCATTCATGGGAATTTCTCTTCTTTGCTTGCAGCTGGCCTTATGCTGCCACAGTTGGAGCAACCTGAAGTATCAGTTACTGGAGTAAGAGATAAGAGTGTACTCCTATCTTGTAAGGTGACCTCTGACAGCTTTGACAACGATTACATACACTGGTACCAGCAGAAACCAGATCAGGGCCTGAAACAGCTAATGTACATCTCGACAGCATCTGCTCTAGGCGACTTAGGAGGGAAGAAAAACAAACTTGAGGCAAGAAAATATGCTTCCACTTCCACTTCCACCTTGAAAATCAGTTTCTTAAAGAAAGAAGATGAGGCTACATATTACTGTGCCCTCTGGATTTCTGGCCACAGTGTGAAGTTTCTCAGATAACACGTTCAAGAACCATCTCCAGGCTGGGCTCACCCACATCCTGAGTACACACAGCCACAGAGGCTGCGCAGCTGGGAGCCCAGCCTGGACCTCCCACTAGAGAAATCGAGGCGTGTCCTTTTTTTTTTTTTTTAACTATCCAGAAATTACCTGTAAGTTATACGGCTCAAAGAGGAAACCACCAAGTGTCAGGAAACATGCTGGTGACGTACGTTATACCTTAGATACCATCACAGCGCTGTTGCAGTGTAACGATCATTTCTTTCTACTTAAATACTAAGAATTTGAGGGGAGGGTAGAGCTCAGGGGTAGAGCACATGCTTAGCAGGCATGAGGTCCTGGGTTCAATCCCCAGTACCTCTTCTAAAAATAAACAAACAAACAAACAAATAAATGAACCAAATTAACCTCCACCCCAAATATTAAGAGTTTGAGGCTTCGCGAGATAAAAAGACTTTTTAAACCCCCAAATCCCATGGTTCTTCAACTCTGTCAGGCCATCTAAAGAAGTTGAGTTGGGTGATTCCCCACGTATTGGGGTGAATGGGATGAATGAGGTGAATGGGGGGGAGCTTTCGTCTGTCTTCCAGGACAGGGTTCTTGTTCACTGGTCACTGAAGGCTGGTGTAACAGGCCCACCAGCACACTCCTTCTGCCACAGGCCTCAGATCACCCCCACCCCCACACCCCCAGGGCATTCGGTCATCACACAGCAAGGTGGAGTCTCCTGCCAGGATCCTTTTCCCTGGGATACTGCCCTGAGCCTGGTCACAGCGGCCATGGATCCAGAGCTGCAGCTGTTTCTCAGGCACTGTTCCAGACCCAGGAGGTATAATTTTTCTCACATTTGTCTCATGGACAATCCGTTGACATTGGTGCTCTCACGACTCACATTTTATAGATGAGGACATAGGGTCATGGAGATGGATTTACTCTGTGGTCGCAGTTACCGAACGGGGGTTGGGGGGAAGGCTGGTTTCTGGCTTCAGTGCCTGTGTTTGTAACCGCGATGCTGACCTGCCTCTGAAATGCAGGCAATAGAAACGGCATCTAATCTGTGGTTCCTAATGAAGAGAAAACAAACTCTCCTTCATAAGATGATGACTGAAATAACAGATTACTCTTCCACACTGAGTCTGCATTTAAGTGTGGTCTTCCTAGAATAGGAATCCCACGGCTGATTTGATGTTCAAAATATAAACCAATAATAAAATATAAAACAATAGAGAAATAATAGCAAAAATCAAACAAAACCAATAATATTATTTTCTTATGTTTTGAAATAATAAAAATCATTATTTCAAGAATTAATATTTTACTTTAGGACATCCTCCCCTCGATATGTGAAAATTTCTTCCATCAAAACCAACTTACCTTATTTTGGGTTCTCCAGAATCTACGGCTTGAGATTTGAGTATAAGCAGTTTATTTGGGAGATGCAGGCAGATGGGCAGGGCGGTAAGGAAATGAAATGTGAAAGAGAAGGCCGACGGTAAAGGGTATTTGTAGCCAGCTCCTCAGAGAGCAATGGGACCATAATAGGGGGTTTAAAAACTGAGTGATGAATCTGAAGGAAAAAAAAGGACACAGATGAACTTATTTACAAAGGAAAGACAGACTCACAGACATAGAAAAAGACTTATGATTACCAGGGGGAAAAGGGGATGGGAGTTTGAGATGTGCAGATGCTAACTACTATATATAAAATAGATAAACAACAAGTTTATACTGTACAGCACAGGGAACTATATTCAATACCTTGTAATGGCCTATAATAAAAAAGAGTATGAAAAGGAATATGTATATATATATATATATAGACTACTATGCTATATATCAGAAATTAACACAGCATTGTAAATGAATCGATGAATGAAGTAATGAACTTTCTGTCCTGCTCTCACGTTTTGTGGACTGGCCGGATACGCAGAATGGAATCTGTGGCACCCTAAGTGAGCCAGTAGTCAAGGTGGTGGTGAACCAGGGGGTCTTGTAAGAGTTAGAAGGCTGCAAGGAAGGGTTCACAGAGTAGAAGAATGTCCACGGTATCATATTAAGTAATAAAGACAGAGCATACCGTGGAACATATGATATCATTCTAACTCTGCGAGACAAATTTTAAAAAGGAACATTAATCAATCTTAAGAGAAGGCAGCAACTATTAACAAGTAGTCATCTCTGTGTGATGGGACAAAAAGGAATGATCCTCTCTTCTGTTTGTGTTTCTTTATGAACCATACTAAGTACACATTCATTTTATAAAAGGGAAATAACAATGAGTTTTATTTTTAAGGTATGTTAAGGCGTTCTAAGGGCCTAGCATCTCTGAGGTTCCCATATAATGGTAACATTCAAAACTAAGAGAATCTGAACTGTCTTCTTTAGTTGGGTTGTCTACAGAATAGAGTCAAACATAAGTAATCTCTCCCTTTAGCCTATGTCTGCATTTGCCTAATGATGTGTAGTGAGGATCAATGATGCTAGACTGGAAGGTACCCATGAAGCCTGTCAGGTGTGGACTCTATGCTTGTCTCACACCCCGCTTTCTCCCACTCCATCCCCCTCTGTTAGATCAATAAAGGACTCCGGCCCTTTAACAAGAAAATGGCCTCTTTGCCCTAACATCATTGGTTCGTGAAAAAATCACACAGTAACGAGAGAGCTCTGCTGATGAATTAACAGGCCTATTTCTGCAGGACGTTCTGAGAAATAACATGAACCCCTTTCCCTAGACAAAGTCTATGTGTCTTCGTCTAGCGGTTTTCGCAGTCTGCGGGCGTGTGTTCAGAGCACCACTTCCTCTTACTAACCCAGCCCTCAGGTGTGCTCTGCAATCATTCTGTTATTCAATCACCTCTCCCAGCAAGAGCTGGCGGCATGCTGCTCCTGCCCCAGGTCTTTGTGGTGGCCTCCCTCTGGACATGTGAGTGGCTTTACCCAAGGGGTGTTTCATTCTTTCCAAGGGAGGCGATAGATCATGGCCAGTCACATAACCCCTTTCAGATGGACCGTAGCCACAGGATGATTCAAACTAAGCTGATAAATTCCACCGTTACCTTGAATTATTCAGGAAGAAAATGTAAACCTCGGTCCCCCTGCTTTTCATGAGTAGAGAACAAATTATACTCCTTTGACGAACATCAAAATTTTGCTAATTTCTCCTCCCGTTTTTCTTTCAGACACAAGTGGAGACATTCTAGTAACACCACTCACGACATCCATTACCAAGAGAAGAGGAAACACAGCATTTCTTGAATGCCGAATAAAAACAGACAGGTTAAAAAAGAACGCGTACATACACTGGTACCGGCAGAAGCCAGGTGAGCCTCTGAAACGAATCCTGTTTATTTCCTCAAATGAAAATATTGTCCACGAACAAGGGGTCAGTGAGGAAAGATATGAAGCAAGGAAACGGCAGAGGGATTCGTTGATGAGCCTCAGGATACACCAGGTTACCGAGGAGGACGCGGGGCTGTTCTACTGCGCCTGCTGGGACACACCGTGCGGCAGGGCGCCACTGTCATCGCACAAAAACCCTCCCACGCCATCGCGCCTACACACACACACACACACACACACACACACACACACACGTTCTGCCTCCTGTAGGGGGCTCTTCTCCTGCCTGTGTGCCCTGAGCAGTGTAGCCCAAGGGCCCCATCTGTAGAGGCTTCTTTCAGGTACTCACTTACCTTTATTGTCCACTCCCACCGCTGGGCCGTGGGCTGCCTTTTGTAAGTGCCCCAGACAGTCTCTGCTTCACCATCGCTGGAAGCCTCCTGGGAAGGAGGCCATAGTCCAGTGCTCAGTGTGATGGGTTGGCTTGGAAAGAAAAAAGAAAGAATGAGTGAATGAAGAATGATGGAAGATACAAGGCCTTTCTAGTGACATACGCCTGGGTTTCAAATTCCTGCTCAGCCCCTCTGACAGCACGATCCAGAGGCGTTATAGAATCGTTTTATTCCTTTTTCCCAATTTTAAATGGGGCAGGATGCTAACCGCGACATAGGCTGCCGAGGACTGAATGAGGTTCCCACGTGAAAGTTTCAGCACAGCGTTCAGCAAATCACAGTGTCCTTTGCCGCTGTGACTAAACCACTTCACTGAGCCATCCCAGCTAAAACAGGGATGAACTCAGGCCCTCTTTAAAAATCACATCATACATTGTCCTCCAAACAACAGTCAAGCATAGCTCGAAGGCTGAAAAACTAAGAATTGTGAATAGGGAGAGGTGGGAGGGTAATGAACCAAGGGGAATCTGTTTCCTCCAACCCCTTTCTTCGTTCACAGCAGAATGGAGAAATGTCATAAAATAGCATGACGGTGTCCTCAGCAGTAACTAAGGTCATTGTTAATGGTTACCCAACCTTGTGAACTTTCTGCAAACTAATGGTCTATATAACATGCAAACTTCTGCACAAGGTTCTGTGTAAGGTTCTAAGCGGGATTATTTGTCTCATTTGTTACTGTCTACAGTAATAACACTTTTCTTCTAACTCTCACGATAGCCATACAGAGCTACTCACACTCTCACAAGATACGGTGGAAAATCTGTAACTCCGGGAGTGAACATGACCTTAAGGATAAGAGTATCTGAAGCAACATGTAAAGGAAACACGGGGGAGCCTGGCTCCCAAAGTGATGCTAATATTATGTCATTATAACAAAAGTGTTTTCGATGATGCTGTCGGGCACCTGAAAGCTTCTCTATACCAGGAACATGATCAAAATAACCCCACAACAGGGCTTACTGAGAAAGACTTTCATTGGTTCTAAAGGGAACCTTCCTCCCCCACCCCTCCTCCACTGGGGACGGGCCCACTCCATCTCCTGTCCTGTCCTGATTCACTCCTCATTCTTACCAGTCACTGGGCAATGCCAACCACGTGGATTTTCCTCACCTCTTTGGTTTGGGTTTGTAGCTTGACTTGTCTCCTTTCTTGACTTTTCATTGTTTTTGCACCCAGAGTCAACCTTTTTAATGCCTCTGGTTGCCCTCCATGCTTTTAACAGATGGAGACACCAAAATAAGAATTTCTCAGGATCAACTCTCCTCTACCCAAAGGCTAGACAGAACAGTGCACATGAGTTGCCAGCTGTCTGGGATTCTGGAGAATACCATTGTGCATTGGTATCAACAGAAAGAAGGGGACCCCTGAAGCGAATCCTTTATGGCTCAACAAATAGTTACAAGCTAGATGAGCCTCACTCCCGCTGGGAGACAGATAAGAAAGGGAATGTAACCTTTTACCTGATAATCAATAGTGTCCTCAAGTCTGACGAAGCCACCTATCATATGCCTGCTGGGATCTCGCAGTGGCACAGAGTCCAAAGGGATCTGGAAGAAAAGCTCTCTTACTAACCCTCAACCCCTCTCATACTCGGACAACCACAACAGGCTCTTTGATTCTTTTCATCAGAGGTTCGTAGTTGTTGAAACAGGAAGGACCCTTTGGACAAATTTAGTCCAATGTCCATACTTCAGATGAGGAAGGTGGGGCCCAAGATGGCAAGTGATTTTTCCAAAGCTAGTCAACCACAGAGATAGGGTACCTACACCTGCATTTCAGATTCTCCATCCAGTGTCTTTCTCTGCCTCTCTTGTGGTTAGGGTTGAACTTTTTTTTTTTAATTTTTTTTTTTTTAGCACAGTTGCATTTCTCTCAAAGGAAGCTATGACCATTTTGGTTTGTCTTCATAAGTGATGTCCCCAGAACCCAACCAGGTCTGATTTGTAGGCAAGTTATGTGATTGTCACAGTGTTCAGAAGGGGGATGGACTCCCAGCTCCATCTGCTTCCTTGTTTTCCCATTTCCCTTACTCTCATTCTTTCTTTGTAGTTTCTATCTGTTCTGAAGTCCTCAGTAATGGGAACAGTTTTCCTGGCATACACATCAAACGTGGAGATCCTTTTCTTCATGAATACCCTTGTAAAGTCTTTGCCATTTACCAAAGGACCTGCCCAACCAAGCTCTAAACTTCCTGCTCTTCAGTCTGAGACCTGGGACCAATCCTACCTGGATGGTTCTGCAGCTGGTTCCAAGTTAGGTAGCCCTGACCTGCACCTGCCTTTGCTCGAGTGACTCAGGACTTTTTCATGTCCAAGCTCTTAGCAGCCACAGCTTGAAAATAACAAGAACAATAGTAATAACAGCAAAATTCATCCCATCACAATACAGCTCAACACCTCTCTTCTTGCATGCCTAAATAGTAGCCAGAAGAAAAATGATTGATTCCAATCCCATTCCTTCACCACCATCATCCCCCCACCTCTGCCCCAATTTTCCTTTCTCAGTAAAGGTCTATGTGTCATTTAACACCATGCAGGGGTATTTTGTCAAAAACCAATGGTGCTTTCTTGACCTTCCACATCTTTGACTTTCTCTGGTATTGAGAAAAAAGAAATGAGGAAACCTAACTGTTCTTTAGGGGTTTCCTGTGATATGAGATCTGAAAGAGGAGATAGGAGGCCCTGGGAACTGTGGATTCATCTGGCAGAAAGTAAACCACAAACCAAACCAGACCCCCTGGTTCACTGGCTGAGAACAGAACTGGCTGCTAAGACAGAGCCCTCGACCCAGACTCTTAGATCTGAAGCAGAGAACTCCCACTCCTGTCTCTCACTTAACGCAAGTGTAGAAGCTCTTCATTTTCCAGCTGACATGGGCAGGGTAGTCAGCAAGTCCAGGAGAGAAATTACCGCTTAATCTGAACCAGAGTTATAGTTCTGAACTGCAAGACCCAAATGTTCCCACAGACACGGTAACCTCCTAGTGTTACTCAAGGCCAAGTGGAAAGAAGCTACTGTCTGGTGTTCGGATTAAACATCCAGTGTTTTATACTTGACCGTTTGAGATACAGATCCTCTATGTATTATATAGACCTGGAATAGACCTGGAAACTATGTCCCTGCCACACACATCCTTCCAACCCATACACCCAAGAAGCAGAAGTAGTTGAAAGAACAGCGTTTTGGGATCTGGTGAACTTGAATTCAGCTCAAGGCTCAGTTTGAATTCCCTAACTCTGTTCCCAATTTGTATTTTAATAGCACAAACCATTTTATAGGCGAAGCAGAATAAGGATGAAATGTATGGCTGGTGCCAAATGCACAGCAGACCCCCATGAATGTTCTTCCCTTTCACTGGCAGAGAACACAGTCATGGCTTGTGACCTTGGAGCAGGGACAAAGAAGTGGGAAAGTAGAACGTTAATTTCCCAAGAAAGAGTTTTCCACATGCAAGTGCCTTTCATACACACCTGCTCAGATAAGACAAATATTTCTTATTTGCAAAAAAAGAAAGAAAGAAAGAGTTGCTTGACATGTTTGCCTATGAGTGCTATGCAAATTAAAAAGCATCTGACATGCACTTAGTGGCATGTTAAGCACTCAAAGAGCAAAAGAAGCTCTAACAGACTAGAAGATCATCAAGTTCAGAATGAAGACAGAGATTAAATTGCTAGAGGGAAGAACTCGCTTGAAATTAAAATGACCTGGCCGCTCCCTGCCCCGTGTTCTATAAACAAGTAAACTCGGTCCTTCCCAATGATCCACTGTATTATATAGACACATACCAGACATCATTTAAGCAGTGGCTAAAATCAACAGTATGTCAGTCTGTGAAAGCTAGTGGCTCGCAGAGAGCATGTGATTTTACGTCTTGTACATGTCAGACAGTATGTTCATTTTGCTTTAAGACATGCCTGGCCATCTCCTCAGAAGAACTTACTCATGGACTAGATTTAATTAACACCATCAAAATTTCTAGAAGATGAACAAATTTGAAAAAAAAATGCATAAGTTTTTATTTTGTTTCAAGATGGAAACCGAATCCTTAAATAAAACACGAGACTCACACTTTTTTTTAAAATGGTTTACCAAGTTTGTTTGAAGATTGTTGACTATGAAGTCATTGTTTCTCTTGAGAAAGTGATGCAAAACTTCAAGTAATTCATTTGAAACACATACGTTACTTCACTTGACCTGCTTGTTATTCATATATTTGTATAATCATTCCTCACCCTGCGTGAGGTAGAATTTAAGTTGCCTCACTTGGTCCCCTCAGAACACGGTGAGTGAAATGTGATTACAGGATAGCCTCCAAGAGGCTTCTTTTCAACATATCAGAGAACTGGACGGGGTTCTTAAGTTTTGGTTTAAATAAGGAACCTATTATTTCAAAGAGACAGAATTCTACAAATTTCTTATTTTATCCTAGGAAAAATAATGTCATCGCAGGTCTTAGTTTCTCATTTGCCATTGTCTTTGTAAAAATTGTGGTGCCAATGCTAATCGTGGCTTAATGGGAAAAGAAGAACTTTGTTCACATTTCTCAGTGCACTTGGGTTGGCACATTTGCATTTTCAGTTACTGAAGAGTTTCCTCCTTTCAGAAATACATTCCCAAAACACCGCGTTGGTGCTTGTGAGAACAGAAGGTCCCTTCCTTTGACACAATCTCTGAGCAGTTTCAGTACAGCTGGACACCTGGAAATTAAAATAGTCTTAATTCTCAGAATACTTTTCCTGGTAACTTAGAAAAGCAATTGGTTGACCAGTTGGTGCTAATCTCTTCTTTTCCTGTTTTTGTCATTTTCATTTTCCATCAGTGCTTTTCAGTGATTACTTGTCTGTGGAAAACAGACATTTTAGTCCATTTTTCTGAAGAAAATTAAATAATCAGATGCCATGAAACCTATATTTAAGGACTTCCAAAAGAACCCAGAAGATCAAACTGCCAGTTACAAAGTTTTTAAACTGCTAGTCACATCCTGAAACTTCGGAGAAGGCTAAGATTTTTGTAGGAGCCCTAACCAGTGTGACACCTCAGGCTGGATCAAGATTTTTGGAGAAGGGACTAAGCTCATAGTAATTCCTCCTGGTAAGTAACTTTTTTCTATTTTAACTTAGTAACGAAAAACAGACAGATGCTTCTTAGAAAAAAAACAATTTATCTGACTGAATGAAGACATTCTTGTCTTCAGCATATGAACAGCATTTTTGGTGCTACTGTTAGACCCTATATGGAAACAAAACTACGTTGTAAATGATTTATTCACTTTCCTGTTTGTAAGCAGATTGAAATCCTACTTTTAGAAATTCTACTTTTTATCCAAAAAGAATAGACTAGAAATTAAAACATTCTAAAGACCACGTTTGTAAACCATTGGTATAAGTTACTGGTTCAAAATACTTTTCTTGCCAATGGTCTATTAAGTGAGAAACTCTTTTCTTAATTTTTTCTTCTCTGTAGTTTGAGAAAAAACACTGTGCTTCTTTCTCCCAATAACCTGAAAACCAATATTATTGGTTTTCATGTCAACTCTAACAGTGGTGCAAATTAAAATTGTACAGTAAAAAATGTAGAGTATCAATAAATCCCACTTCTTATTACTCTACTTTCTTGGACGTAGGTTGAGCTCAGTTGAAATTTATGCTATCACATCTCTTACGACGTTGCCTGGATATGGACCAATTCAATGGACTTTATGAGCTCAGTGAGCCACCTCAGCTCCAAAGTCCATGAAAAGGGTCTGCATAATTTTACATCCTCATTTGCTCATTCTCTCAGCAAACACTTATTGAAGACAATTTCCGTGCTGGGTGCTGAAGGTAAAAGGGTGGACAAGACACAGATAGAACAACTCCCTTCACTCAAAGAGTTTCTAGGCTAGGAGGAAAGCATTCTAGGTTCTGGTTTTATTGGGTTCCATCTTTGATTAATGTTAAGCAAGGCCAATTTTTAAATATTTATACAAATGCGGAAAACTATAGGCACAATTTTAAAGCAGGCACAGAGGGAGATTTCTGTAAAGGCTTTTCAGATAGTGGGTTAACAGATGGCAGGACAATCAAAGTGTTTGGTTCTGGCACACGGCTCATTGTTACAGGTAAATGTTCTTTGAATTCTGTAATAAGGGAGGGGTGGGAGGCACGGAACACAGGCACCGCAGGCTGCAGTGCTGGTGCTGGCTCAGAATTCTTGGATCTGGTCCCTGCCTGGTCGTGAATCACGGAAGGGTCGCTGGAGAAGTCCGTGTCTCCGTAGAGGTTCTTGGAGTCTGTTCTCTGCCTGACTTAGTGAGGATGTTAGCAAGAGTTAACTAGTTAGACCAAGTGTGAGTCCCCTCAGTGGTGGATATATTAAATTCATTTGTGTTGGAAGATTTCGAAGACTCTTAGAAGTTTTTTAATTTGATTCCAAAAATAACCAATGGGAAAATTGAACAAATATTGCTCAAGTTGTCAGAGAATGATTAATATTGATTATCAAGATATTTAACTCTGCAACCATATTCAATAATGTCTTAAGTTGGATTTGTCTTTTTCCTAAATTCAATCCAATAAATTTGTTCACTCCTCATTTCCCTGAAAGATGAAATTTTGCCTGGGCAAGGGGGAACGTCTCTCAAGAATGTTCCTACCCTATGAGATCTGTGCAAATGGAAGTTTTAAAATTTTTTCACAAAATTGATAAAGCATTAAAAAAAGAAAGAATTATACATTTCTTATTTCTTTAGTGGTTGTGATTGTATGAACAAATGAATTTGTGTATTGAAAAGCAATGTTCCATTCTCCTTTTTTTCAAGTGACTCTGCTCAGTGTAAATTATAGCAATTGAATTAGATAAAGGTGACTCAGATAAAACTGATGCAGGTCCTGAAAAATGATTTTTAGGAGCGTGTGGTGCGGGGAAAAATATGGACTTTGATCCTGGGTCTATCACTTTCTGAATGATAAGCAAATAAGTTTTGATTCACTGGTTATTGCTTCATCAAAATTATAAAAATAATACATGCCCATTATGGGAAAAAATTGGAAAATACAAAAATAAAGAAAAAAATTAAATGTTTATATTGGCACTTAGCACTGTTAACAGTTTGCTGTATTTCCATTCATTCCATCTGTGCCACAACCATCTCAAGTAGATGTTGTGAGGATTAAATAAAATTTAAAATGGAAATTACCTACCACAAATGTTGGGACATGGTTGGTGATGATAAGGTCAATTTCTTTCCCAGAACTCAAATTCTTACTCATTTATTCATTGGAATTCTTTGTGAAATCAGGAGTACAGTTAAATATACTTATTGCCATCTTAGGTTATTTTAGGATAAATAATCAGTATGCAAGAATTCTCTGTTTCTGTGATGAATTGTTATCTGCTTCTAAAAACGGTTAACATGTAATAAGCATTATCTCAAATACTATTAGCCTGAATATAAGATGATCTCTCATTTTCTAGTTGAAATATCTAGAAGTAAAAAAAAGGATTTTATTATTATTATTATTTTGCAACTTGAACATTTAAACTTATAGGGGTATAGATAAAAGTCAAATATCTGATTGTAATATTTAATTTCTTATTTGGATTACACCCACAAAGTTTAAAATTATGTCAATTCAAATGTCAGGTAAGAAATATTGCTTCTTTTCCCCACATATTTCATTAAAAATTTTATTGGGACCCTAAAATTGCATTTAAAACAACTACCTTAGAGCAACTTTCTAAGTCATCTCCGGGTCTGTTTCGTGATCCCCATGTGATGATGCTACTGGATATTTTATTTAAAGAAACAACTATCCACTTATAAAATAAAAGAAAGCATTTATAAAATTTATTCTTCTATCCTATACACGTGCAAGGTAAGATGAACTGCAGCGACTTCGATCCCAACTACTATTTACCAAGTAGTAATAGCGCTCCCAAACCAGCTTTAAGTTCATTTCAGGTTAATATCTTGTCCAGGTAGCATTTTTTTTTATCAGAGCAGAGTTATTAGAAAAGCATCTTTTAATAGGAGAGGTTGCACAAGAACTGAAATATAAGCAGCCCTTTGTTTTGCGGGGGATAATTTTCGGAAAGAAAGCTGCACTTTATGCCCTGGCACTTTCAGTCGGTTCGAATTCCGCACGTTTTGCATCCGTGTCACAGAACTAGGATTGGCAAACATAGTCTCCCATTAAGTCACACTGGAGTTAGATTTTACTAAATTATCAACCCCTCGGGCAGAAAAAGAAGCAACCTATAACGTACGAATGATCCGTCATGTATTTAAACTGTTTGTTTCCAGCATCTCTTTGGGAAGACCTGAGAGGGGAAACACTCCCACAGGCAAAGCGTGAAATGAGAATAGAAGTTCAGAGGCATGAAGGGAAGCAGAAGAAACAAGACCTGTGATGATCTAGCATGAAGCACTGGGTAGAAGTTTATGCTCAAAAGAAGGAGAGTCAGGTGTCAGTGCTACCTCAGTGAAAAGAAGTGAATGAAAGAAAAAGAAAAAAGAAAGTAGGGGAAATGCAGTGGAAAGCATACCCTTTATTACAGATAGATGAAGCACACTGAATTTTCAGTATGTTTTTCTCACCATAAAATTAGAAAAAGACTTCACTGCACAAGCCTTTAAGGAGGAAAGTGAAATATAAAGAGCAGACATTGACTTCGTCATCCGTTTTATAAAATGGAAGAAATGATTTTTTAACAAACCCAATGCATCAGTGCTCTGGGCACCATAACACTGAATGTCATTCACAGATGGTGGCCCTCGGCAGACAGGGTCAGGCAGGTAGGGGGTTCATGATGCAACGTGATACTGGGAAGATTTGAGGGCCAGGCATCCTGCCATTTCTCTGGTCATTCTGTCCTGAAGGTTCACTGCCAGGACTTGCAGGCTGAACTCTGTGCATGAGCTGGATAGAAGTCAGTTTGAGGCTGAAGTTTATGGTAAAGCCTTGGAATGCAAATAGATTGTGCTGTTAATTGGGGGAAAAATTTATTTTTTGACCACACAAGTGAAACTCTTCCATATACTAATTGCCTATATTAAGCTTTAGCCAATGATTTTCTTAACCCTGGAGATGCAGGGGTTAAGACAAGACAGATTATTGCCTATTGATTGGGGGTGTGAAAGGCATGTTCCCTGTGCTGATGGCTTTGAGAATTTCAGACAAATGAGAGCACAGCAGAATGCAAACCAGGGAATCAGTCTTCATGCTTAATTGCAGCAGATCCAATACCGAATTCCAAGCACTAAGGGTGTGGTTTGGTGTCATAAGATTAAAATGTCACGTTGGAACACAGAATCATCACACATTGCTAATAATAATGGTAATAATTATTATTAAATCTCTCATTTCCATAGCATTTTAAATTAAATTGCTTTGGAATCTTGTTTCA